GCCCGTGAGTCCATGAGCCTGTGAGCCCATGTGCCTGTGAGCCCATGAGCCCGTGAGTCCATGAGCCCGTGAGTCCATGAGCCTGTGTACCATGAGCCCGTGAGTCCATGAGCCCGTGAGTCCATGTGCCCATGATACCATGAGCCCGTGAGTCCATGAGCCTGTGAGCCCATGAGCCCGTGAGTCCATGAGCCTGTGAGCCCATGAGCCCGTGAGTCCATGAGCCTGTGAGCCCATGAGCCCGTGAGTCCATGAGCCTGTGAGCCCATGAGCCCGTGAGTCCATGAGCCTGTGAGCCCATGAGCCCGTGAGTCCATGAGCCTGTGAGCCCATGAGCCCGTGAGTCCATGAGCCTGTGAGCCCATGAGCCCGTGAGTCCATGAGCCTGTGAGCCCATGAGCCCGTGAGTCCATGAGCCTGTGAGCCCATGAGCCCGTGAGTCCATGAGCCTGTGAGCCCATGAGCCCGTGAGTCCATGAGCCTGTGAGCCCATGAGCCCGTGAGTCCATGAGCCTGTGAGCCCATGAGCCCGTGAGTCCATGAGCCTGTGAGCCCATGAGCCCGTGAGTCCATGAGCCTGTGAGCCCATGAGCCCGTGAGTCCATGAGCCTGTGAGCCCATGAGCCCGTGAGTCCATGAGCCTGTGAGCCCATGAGCCCGTGAGTCCATGAGCCTGTGAGCCCATGAGCCCGTGAGTCCATGAGCCTGTGAGCCCATGAGCCCGTGAGTCCATGAGCCTGTGAGCCCATGAGCCCGTGAGTCCATGAGCCTGTGAGCCCATGAGCCCGTGAGTCCATGAGCCTGTGAGCCCATGAGCCCGTGAGTCCATGAGCCTGTGAGCCCATGAGCCCGTGAGTCCATGAGCCTGTGAGCCCATGAGCCCGTGAGTCCATGAGCCTGTGAGCCCATGAGCCCGTGAGTCCATGAGCCTGTGAGCCCATGAGCCCGTGAGTCCATGAGCCTGTGAGCCCATGAGCCCGTGAGTCCATGAGCCTGTGAGCCCATGAGCCCGTGAGTCCATGAGCCTGTGAGCCCATGAGCCCGTGAGTCCATGAGCCTGTGAGCCCATGAGCCCGTGAGTCCATGAGCCTGTGAGCCCATGAGCCCGTGAGTCCATGAGCCTGTGAGCCCATGAGCCCGTGAGTCCATGAGCCTGTGAGCCCATGAGCCCGTGAGTCCATGAGCCTGTGAGCCCATGAGCCCGTGAGTCCATGAGCCTGTGAGCCCATGAGCCCGTGAGTCCATGAGCCTGTGAGCCCATGAGCCCGTGAGTCCATGAGCCTGTGAGCCCATGAGCCCGTGAGTCCATGAGCCTGTGAGCCCATGAGCCCGTGAGTCCATGAGCCTGTGAGCCCATGAGCCCGTGAGTCCATGAGCCTGTGAGCCCATGAGCCCGTGAGTCCATGAGCCTGTGAGCCCATGAGCCCGTGAGTCCATGAGCCTGTGAGTCCATGAGCCCGTGAGCCCGTGCGTCCAGGTGTTATGAGCCCGTGAGCCGGTGAGCCGGGCCGGCGGGGCTCGGACCCTGCCCGCGCAGCAGAGGGGAGGCTGAGAAAGCGCAGCGGCGACGGTCTGAGCGCTGAGCTCGCTGGAGCCGATCGGATTGCCAGGGTCCCCAGGGTGTGAAGACCTGCGAGGCTTTCCAGTGCTGACAGGCCACCGTGGAAGCTTTTAGTTCATTTTCAGAAAAGCGAAGTGACTGCCCCGGTCACCCGAGTGAGCTAATCTTGACAAACATGAAATTACAACTCCCGGCACAGAACTGATAAGTGACACCTCTGTCACCGCGGACAGAGAGGAGACAAAATGAGGAGGCGTCACTCAGAGCCGCACACCGGCGGCCGCTAGGGCGAGCGCTGCTGGCCCCGAAGGGCGGACGTGAGGCACCGAGTCCAGGCTCGCGGAGCTCGGAGGGGACAGGCGAGGGCTGACAGGCGTCTGTCCCCCGCACTCTCGGACCCTTAACGTGAGTCAGCGCTGTGCACGCCAGCGCCCTCACAGCGCGGTGGATACAGCCACCAGGTGCGTGGATGTGAACAGGCCCTGGTGTGGGGCTTGGGGGCTCCTGGGTCCCGGGCCAGGTGACGGGAGTGCCTGTGGGGCCGTGGATCCCCCGTGAGTGTGATGAAGGCACGGAAGTCCGCCCCATCCCACCCCTGCCCACACGCCATGGCTTTCTTCGCTGGCTGCGGCAGGAAATTGATGCCACGCGTTGGAGATATTTAAAGACTCCATCCCACGTTGCCTTAGATGACAAAGGGATATTCCCAGAATGCAATGCAATGACACAGCCCCTCCATCTCTCCCCCGTGTTGAGGCGTCTCAGCTCCCAGCTCTGGACCACCTGCTGTCGCACGGAGCTCCTGGGCTGGTCTCGGTCAGAAGCTCCTCAAGGCGGGTCTTCACTGGCCTGACCCTCTACACCAGTGGTTCTCAACCTCGGCTGCACATTAGAACCACCTGGGAATCTTTTTAAAATCCTGATTTCTGGGCCTCATCCCCCAGAAATTCTGTTTCTTTGTGATGGGGTGGGGCCACATTAGTCACAAAGAAACAGAATTTCTGGAGGATGAGGCCCAGAAATCAGGATTTTAAAAAGATTCCCAGGTGGTTCTAATGTGCAGCCAAGGTTGAGAACTACTGCTCTCCCCTCCCTCCCCCAACATCAGCCCAGGGCTCCTGCACCCCGGAGGGTGCTGCCTCTGCTTGGATGTTCACAAGGAGCAGGAAAGACCGGCTGTGTCCGGAGCACCCACCCCCGCCCCACAGCTCACTGCCGACCTAAGCTGGTGAATATGTGATCACAGAGCTTTGCCAGAGGAAGGCTCTGAGGAGGAAAGCCGGTTCGGGCCGCCGCCGTCGCAGGGCGGCTCCCGCCGGGCACGCGAAGCAGGACATCCATCTTTCATGGGCTCCTGATCTGAGCATGCGCCCCGCGCAGCCGGAGGGAGAGAGACCGACCCCCGAGGCCACCTGTTCCCGAGAAAGCTGGGAGCCGGGGAGTATGCGCAGGGGGCTCAGCCTGCCCAGGAAGCTCCCAGAATGTTCCAGCAGGCCCGCCTCCCGAAGCCGGGGCGGGATGGCCGAGGGGGCTGAGTAATTAGCCCCAATTTATATTACTGGCATTTTCGATTAGCCACAGCTGAGCCTGGCTGCGGGACCTGGGCGCAGGGACCAGATGGGAAGGGGAAATGCAAAAATATATATTTTTAAATGCGAAAAAAGACAACATAAAAGCAGCAGCTGTGGAAGCGGGAGGCAGCAGGCGTCCGTCTGTCTGTCTGCCTTGGGCATCTGGCAGCTCCTAAAGGCCCCTGCCCTCCCCCACCCATTCGGGGAAGCCCCCTGTGCCTGCCCCCTCTGCGTGGGGTGGGGCTTTGCAGAGAGCAGCATGGGCAGGACTTGGGGGACCCCCGGAGCAGGTGGGCAAGAGATGGGTACCCCTGCAGCATCACCAGCACCATGGCCGCCTCAGCCCACCCCGTCTTCCTCCTTGGGGCCCATCACAGACCCAGAGGTGCCTGTAGGGGTGGGGGGAAGTGAGCCAGGGGTGAGATCGGCTGGGACTCCAGGTCCCCGTCAGCTCCCTGAGCCAGGCTGTCTCCCAGCTTCAGTCCCGGCTGCTGAGAGGACACCAGAGAATGGCCAGCTCAGGGGAGCCTGGGCTGCTCTCCTGCCCCGCCCCATCGCCCATGGCCTTGGCGAGTGTCACAGGCACTCAGAGCCTCAGCTTCCCCCTTTGTAAAGTGGACGGTAAACCATGTGTTCGCCCGTGAGGGCAGCAGGACTCACTGAGCCGAGCAACTCAGGGGGGACAGCCAGGGGCACCCCGGGGGCTGGGCCCTGTGTGCCTGTCACCCTCCCTTATTTGCTGGGTGTGGGGGAGACTCAGGTCCTGGAGGAGAGATGGGGAGCCAGCAGGGAGTCACAGGGCCTTGGGACAGTGGCGTTTACACACCCGTGTGCAAGGCTGTGCCCCTCTGTCAGCAGCCCAGGCAGCAGCCACCAGTCTGCACGGTGGGCGGGGCCAGCACGATGGGCAGGATCAGCGCGATGGGCTGGATCAGTGCGATGGGCAGGGCCAGCACTGGTGGGCAGGATCAGCGTGATGGGTGGGGCCAGCACAGTGGGCAGGATCAGATAGAGTTTGTATTCCAATTTCAGGTCTGTTACTCATTAGCCATTTGACCTTGGATAGTTTGTTTTGGCTTCCTCATTTGTAAAATGTGTGTATCCTTTCATGTTTATTGATCAGGGCCAGCACTGTGGGCGGGGCCAGTCCAGTGGGCAGGATCAGTGTGATGGGCGGGGCCAGCATGGTGGGTGGGGCCAGCCCA